TCTTCTGCCTCATCTTCTGCTCATGCTGAGTTCATTGTTGAAAAATGTCCAAACAAAAAGCCTAAAACCGCTAAAATTTGATGCCACTCCATTTTTGTTTTTATTTCCAGAAGAAGAAGAAGAAGAAGTGTCTTCTTCAGAGGTTTTTGTGTCATTTCCTTCAGTAGTTCTTGATGCAGCGCCACCACAGGCAAGGGGGGGTGGGGGGGGGACAGGTTGGTTCAATTGATTCAGTACAGTGTGACAGTGTGAATGCAAACCGCACCAGCTGAAAATGTAAACAACTGTTCTGAATTTTGGTCCCCAACAGAACCGAGTCTACCGGACTATCAGGTGTGAAAACAACCATAGTCACAGTTCACCCTGAGTTAATGTGAGTAAATCAAAGTTTAACCACCATTTTCTCTTTAATTACTGGTTCTTTCTGGCTGTGAGGACATCGTATGCAACAATTTTAGCATCATAAATAGTTAAAACACACAATTCTGAACACATTTTTAAAAGCAAACAAAAAAAAATTACTCCTGTTGTACTTTTTAGTGGGTTTATATACAAATGTTGTTTTTTTTATTTTTTATTTTAGCATTGCTCAATAGACTTTTTACCATTTTTTTTTCCTTCTAACAGATGATAAATACTGAAGCCAAAATATAGATGTTAAAAAAAATTAAGCAGTCGGGGAAAAAAAAAAATTCTTCCTATTTTAATGACTTAAACAAATGCAAATTGGGGCTGCGTGTGAATGATACTGTTTCATACAATAGTTATTTTTGGCAGAATTCTCAAAATTAAAAAGCTAAGCTTAGAAAACGCAAATTAACGTGACACGATCCATGTGGTTCATTTTTTAGTGTTTCAGGTGCACGAGGCAGACAGACTACAAGGCAGACAGATAGATGCAGAGCCCTCTGACACCTAAAAGAAGATCAAAATCAGCTGCATAACTTCCCCAGCCTTTAACTCCAGCCCACACATCTGCCACGCACGTGAACCGACATCTCCGAGACGTGACATACAAGCGTCTACAATGATACAACACAGACAGAAACACTAGCAAGGTATGAGGCGGTGCATTTTGTATAGAAAAATTACAAGGAGGAAGACACAAGGAAGAGCATGAACAGTGATGTGTGTGTGCATGTGTGTGTGTGTGTGTGCATGTGTGTGCGCACGAAGGGGGAAAAGTATCCTTTATTCTCTGAGTTGAGCAAACAGGAAAAAATAACAATGAATACACAATATCAACAGTGTGATAAACAGAAACAGTAGACGGCAGAGTATGTGAGAACACTTAAACTTTGCCTCTCACACACACACACACACACACACACACACACACAATACTTGCAGAGTCAGAATTGAAAGTACAAATGTACTTTCATTCAGCAGAGAGTAGAAAACGTTCTGTTTGTTGACTTGTCCAGTGCATCTAATTTGAATTGCAAAAATGCAAAATTTTCTAGAAGGAATTCATACGATGTCTCTTGAAATTACCATATTTTTCATTGTATATATTTCATTGCCTTTTTGCACAAATTTGCAAGTCCTGTGACTTATACACCAACGCGACTAATATATGATTTTTGCCTCTCATATTTATAACCCAATTTTTTAGCTGAGATCTGACGATTTCATTCATTCTGACATGGAAAATACAAAGTATTGAACACTACCATTTTCAGCCGCTAGAGGGCCCTCGACTAATATGGCAAGCCAAGTGTCTCATTAATAGGTAAAAGTAGCTATTAATGAGACACTTGGCTTGCCATAGAAGCCACCGTCGTCTCGTTCCGGAACTCTTTGAGCAAACGTCAAATCAGCTGCATTTCACCGCGCCCCAGGCGACATGCAGATGATTTAACCATTAAAGTGAGTTTATTAAGGAAAAGTTAGACTGAGACACACCTTTACTATAATGTCAAGCAAACAAATAATTGTTTTTAAGTGTTAATCTTGTTAAAGTCCTCCCGTGCACGCTCTCGCGGCCGCCATTTTGGCAGTCAATCTATTTTTGGCACAACACGTTACGCTACGCATCAGCGGTGACACATAATAGAAGCGATTTATTTATGTTTTTTTCCCAAATTAGTAGACATATTTGGACTGATGCGACATATACGGCAATGCAACGTGTACGGCGGCAAGTACGGTATGCAAAATGTTTGAAACAACGCAATTCTGTTGCCAAGTTGGATGGTTTCCATCCAGTCCCTGAAACTGAGTGAAATCTCATGTACAATGTGTGCGGTGAGAGTGACTTTTAGAAAAGCTCACAAATCAACAACAGCACGGCAGAGACAGCTGTGAAGATGCTGCTGTGGTGGGAAAGGTGGTTAGAGGGCTGCAATAAAAGAGCTTGTTTCAAACACTGAATGATGTTATAGCTGTCAGGTGGGGTAGATTTCTCTAAATGCTCAGCAGTGATTCACTGAACCAACTTTACCTTTAGCTTTTTCTGTCCATCCTGTCATCGAGAGGAGTTTCTAAAACGTAAGCTAATTATTGTGTTTGCTGTCATATGTTGAAACTGTGTAAAAAGTTAAGACCGTGTCCTACAGCATCTGTTGTAAATATTATCATGCGTGCAACAAATGACCATTTGGTGAAAATTTAAAAAGAATTTGCCTTTAAACATATTTGGCAAAACAACCTTTTTCTTTTGTGTTTGGACCAATGATTGCTGTTGTTGGTGATTTTATTTTTATAAAAGCATCTAAGATTTTTAAAGCCAATATTTTGACAAAGATTTTATGGAAACAATGACATCACAGCCTTTACATTAACCACTGCTTTGTTGTGTGAGCATGCACTGATAACTACAACCAATAATGCTAATTTAACTCATTTTTCTCCCTCATTACCCGTCTAGCCTTAAAACAACTAAACAGAATACTTTTCACATTTGTCTAACATTCTGCTACTTTTAGTGCTATACAGCAATTTCTTTATCCATCCATCCATTATCTTTACCCGTTTGTTCCATTTTGGGTCACGGGGGTCGCTGGTGCCCATGTCCAGCAATCACTGTGCGAGGGGCGGGGTACACCCTGGACGGGTCGCAAGTCCATCACAGGGCCACATAGAGACAAACAAACATTCACTCTCTCACTCACACCTAGGGACAATTTAGAGTTACCAATCAGCCTAACATGCATGTTTTTGGTCTGTGGGAGGAAACCGGAGTACCCGGAGAAAACTCACGCATGCACGGAGAGAACATGCAAACTCTACCCAGACCGGGGTTTGAACCAGGGACCTGCTCGCTGAGAGGCAGCAGCTCTACCAGTTGCGCCACCGTGCTGCCCAATTTCTTTATGACATTAAAAAAAAGTATTTTGGTTGTATTTTATTGCAGAGTACTTGTTTAACACAAATGTTGGTGGGAAAAAGTAAAATGAACAAAACTGCTTTGTGGTTGAAAATCACATTATTTATTTATTTGGATTTTATTATAATCAGATTTCAATTTATAGCTATTCTTCACCTTTTTAATCTATATTGTAATCATGAAAAGTATGGGGTGCCGTTTGTAAAGTTACTGTCAAAAATTAACAGCAATATTTTGGTTTATTTAGCCTTTCATAAGAAAAAAACTAGTTTTATTTTCAAAGTCATTTTTCACCATGTCATTCATACATTTATAAATGTCATAGTTCCAAACTAAATATTTAATTTACAAGCTAAATATTTAGTTTACAAACTAAGCATGTACTTTAATTGTAAGTTAAATATTTAGTTAGCAAGCTAAGTATTTAGTTTACAAACTAAATGTTTATGTGCAGCAGCACGGTGGCACAACTGGCAGAGCTGCTGCCTCTCAACGAGCAGGTCCTTCGTTCAAATCCTGGTCCAGGGGCCTTTCTGGGTGGAGTTTGCATGTTCTCTCTGTGCATGCGTGTGTTTTCTCCGGGTACTCCGGTTTCCTCCCACAGACCAAAAACATGCATGTTAGGCTGATTGGTAACTCTAAATTGTCCCTAGGTGTGAGTGAGAGAGTGAATGGTTGTTTGTCTCTATGTGGCCCTGTGATGGACTTGCGACCCGTGCAGGGTGTACCCCCCCTCTCGCACAGTGATTACTGAACATGGGCACCGGCGACCCCCGCGACCCAAAAATGGAAGAAGCGGGTAAAATATAATGGATGGATGGATGTTTATGTGCAAGATAAACATTCAATTTACAAACTAACTATTTAACTTGCAAGTTAAATATTTAGTTAGTGAACTAAATATTTAGGTGTAAATTAAATATTATTTTCAAAACTAAACATTTAATTTCCACAATAAATATTTAATTTGCTAACTAAATATTTAGCTCTGACCTAAATATCTATGTTCCAAACTAAATATTTATTTTCCAAAATAAATATTTTATTTGCTAACTAAATATTTAACTTGCAAGTTAAATTTTAGTTTGTAAATTAAACATGTAGCTTGGACATAAATATTTAGTTTGTAAACAAAATATTTACTGTTAAAAATTTAACAGCTTGCTAACTAAATACTTAGCTTGCTAACTATATAGTTAGCTTGCAAGTTAAATATTTAGTTTGTAAACAAAATATTTAGCTTGTAAATTAAATATTTAGTTTAGTAATTAAATATTTAATTTACACCTAAATATTTAACTTGCAAGTTAAATAGTTAGTTTGTAAATTAAATGTTTATCTTGCACATAAACATCCATCCATCCATCCATTATCTTTTACCCGCTAAATATTTAGCTTGTAAATTAAATATTTAGTTTAGAACTATGACATTTATAAATGTATGAATGACATTGTGAAAATATGACTTTGAAAAAAAAAACTGTTTTCTTTTCTTATGAAAGACGAAATAAACCAAAAATATTTATGTTAATTTTTGACTGTAAATTTACAAATGGCACCCCATAGCAGTGAACAGTTAAAGCTGCTTTTTAACCAGCATTTGAATCCTAAACTGCGGACATGACTAAAATGTGTATTTAAACTGTTCCAGATGGGTTCAGTATAAGTTGCCATGGCTGAGTCACCATTTGTGACGCTGAAGACTGATTTTAGGTACAACACACCTGGCTGAGCCATTAATCCTGCTTTGTAGTGCAGCCCTCTGGTTTATGCAGCCGGAGGAGGCAATTGACCTACAAACAAATAACAGATGATTCTCATCGCACAAGACCCTTTGATGCTTAACGTTTCGACATTAAATAAAACAAAGCCCTAGTTACGTATCCACCATATACGTTTCATGTCATGATGGAAATCTTTTGGTTTAATCTCATTCACTATTTCCCTATTGTGCTTCTTGTGTTTTCATGAGATGCAACACATTTATCACAATATTTTCGCTGCAGTTTGCCACTTTTCTTGCTGAATTTGCTGGAGTGAGGCCATTTTGTTTTCACAAAGTCATGTTTAATGTATGTAATGCATGAATGCATAGGTTAGTTTCAGCTGTAATACAGTACAATGTTACACAAAATGTGTGTGTTCACGTTTGTGTGCAGGCGTAAACCATGTCTTTTTAATGGCCTAATTCGGTGAAGATATGTCCTTGGGTCAACAGATTTTATAAGGTTTAGACAAAAGGTTTACAGAGTGTCATCAGAAGTGGCACACTCACACACTCACACACACCCTCTCCATGTGGGGTCATTCCCATCCCACCCCTGGAATCACAGTTTCAATAAAGTGACCTTGGCATGCTCACAACAGATTTGTATGGAGTCCAATAAAAGTCTGGAACGATGGGGTGTTGACCTCAGCTTGATTTGAGCTTCAGGTCACAGAGCAAGTTTTCCAAACACACACACACACACACACACACACACACACACTCACACACTGACAATTCAAAACTGAATCCACAGTCTCTGTGTTTTTATACCTAAAAGAACGAGTCTGATGCTTCCTCTGATGCCTGTCTAACCAGACTAGCATATTCAAGGGGCAAACACTCATTCATTACAGCTTAACCAGACACGCATGCCTCGATGTGCACACACACACACACACACACACACACACACCTCACCTAACTCTGATTTAGCAGCACATACCATCTGTCTAAAATGATTAACCTTTCCATCAATCACTGGTCTCGCCATTATCCAGACACACGTTTCTAAAGTGGGCGCACACCTCTCACATGTGCTGGGGGGGGGACACTGACACATTAACACAGAAGACATGAAATAAGAAATATCATTATACCCTCTGGGGTTTGTGCCTGATTGAACTTTTAAAAAGGTTTGTGTGTCTTTATTTCAGTAAATTTGTATTCTACTACATTAAGTCTAAAACTGGAATTTAATGGATAAAAGGATTTGCTATATTTGTGATTGGTTTCGTTTAACATAGCGATACTTTGAAGTGATATTTTCTTGTAATATAAAACATATTCCTGTAGGTTTTAGGCAAGAATATCAAATGCAGATTTACATGTTAATGCAGTAATTATCACTCGTGTGTTAATAAGGAGACATAATTACAGAAGCCCTTTTCACCAGTTTTGCAATATGGGTGCAAAGACAAATCCCTCTTTAAGCTGCCTATACCAGTTCATGATTGTGCAGCGTTGCCAGATAACTCTGGCGCAGATCTTTGTTTTCAGCTTTGTTGCCATCTCCCTAACAGCGTGGTGGTGTGTCAACTTAAGGTTTCCTGATTTGAAGGAAACCAGATGTGCTTTTTTTGTTTGTCTGTGTACAAAAATCTCTCATGAACCACTGGATGGATTTTAATGAATCTCCTATAAAGTAAACATTAGATGTACAGATTCATCTAATTAAGTTTTGGAATCAACCTGTTTTCTTTGCTTTTCTAACCACTGTTTTTGTTTGTCCAAACAGGTCTCACTTGTAAATGAGTCTTCGAGGCTCAATGGGATTTATCTGTTTAAATAAAGGTTGAATGAATGAAAAAACCTGATTCAAGATGGTTGTCACAGCTAATCAATCATATTAAACACAAGAATGGCTCTAACTCAGACAGTTTTACAGATATTGAGTCCAAATTAAATAAATAAATAAGGAATGCAGGAAAAACCAATGCAAACATGTTCTTGTTTTTAGTTTTCTACATCGCCTTACAACCTATCTGTTTTTTATTACATCATACCATTTTATTTTCACTTGCTATTCTCAATTGATATGTATTTTTGATGATTGTCTATTGTTGTCTTTGTTGTCCACTGTTGTCATCACTCTTTGTTTAAAACAACAGGTCTCTCTTGTACAGTAAATGAGTCCCTGAGACTCAGTGGGATTAACCTGTATAAATAAAGGTTGAATGAATGACAATTAGGTGGGATAGTAGCTGAGAGTCTTCCTAAATACACTCAACGCTAATAGATTGTCTAAGGTTATGCAATATTACTTAATATCATGCACAAATGTTAAAGTGCCAGTGACATCAAATTATTGTAATATATATTATTGCATTTTTTGAAAAATAACATTAATAACATATTATAAAAGAAAATTCACTTTGCTAAGATGAACAGTTTCTGAGATATTAGCATGTGCAGTAACAGGAAGTGATGACAAAGGGGAAAGCCTGCATGTAAACAGAGCAGTACAACAATGGCTAACAATGTTTTAACAACACAGACCGTAGAGAATAATCTGATGTTTCTTTAGATTATTCTGAGACTATCACAGACACAAAGAAGAGAGAGGTCAAATAATATTGTTTCAATGAACAAAGACCAAGGAGTTCCCCTTTAATGGCACTTCCTGTTTCACTTTGACTGTGCCAAGTTCAAAAGAAAATATGCCAGTTGTGTGACAAAATGGGTAAAAATCATTTTGTTATGCTAAATTTCTTTAATGTTAAGATTTTCTCTTTCACTTTTTGTATTTGTAGGATAAGAATGTCAAAAGCACTTTAAGATTTACCCAAAATGGCTATAACCCCATCATTTCTCAACATAAAATGAATAGGTGGTGGGCAAAATTAAAAAATAAATGTTTTTTATGATTGTTTCAACAATATTTTTTCAAGTTTTTATTGTTGCATTCTTTATTTTTTTTGCACTGTATTTTTATTTATTAATTATATGTCAAATACAAGTCTCCATTTCATGAAATTCTATGTTACAGTAGTCCCTCGCTACTTTGCAGTCCGACTTTTGTGGACTCGCTATTTCGTAGTTTTTCAATGATTGTCAACTTTAATGTTACTCACGTGATTGGGAGGGTATGGGATAAAAAGTTAATGAAAAAAATAGTTCGGAATAGTTTTGCAGTACTGTACAGTACATATACGTATGTTGTTAAAATTATGCACGTTTAAGCATTTAGAGCATTGCCAGAGTGTGGGAAGGGTTTATAAAGCCTTAAAATATTTATAAATACCAAAATAAATATTGCGTTCATACTTCGCGGTTTTCACCTATCGCGGTGGTGTGTGGAACGCAATGATAAACAAGGGACTACTGTATATGCTTTATCTCATGAATCACAAGGTTTTTATGTTATTAACGTTTTACTATCTCACAGGCCAAATGAAATGAGCTTATGGGCTAAACATGACCCATGCACCACCAGCTGATGATAGTTGCCTTTTGTGCAAAGTGTTAGGAAGTCTCTAGCCTAGAGAAACAAACTGCCTCTGGTCGATGGCCTAAAATTTCCCAGCAGCCCCTTCAAGTGCCACATGAACCCGATCATTTACTGACTTGTAATAAAAATGTAACCGGGCCACAGATCAGACCTTCTTTCCATGGCTCTATAGTTAAGCTCCAATGCTCACATGCTGACTGTCGGCACGTCTGGTTGGGAACAAGGGTCACCATGATCGCTCCGACTGGCCGGCAGCCAGTCTGCTCCATATGCTGTAGCCTGCAATGTACTGTGTGTACCACTATTTATCACAGCCAGAGTTAGAATTTCCAGCTTTTTCTTGTCTTCTACTTTAAGATAGACTACCCTGCACCTGTACTACCCTTTGCTCCCTGCAGGCATTAATGAGCCTTGACTCCAGTTCACTAGATGTTCCTCTCTGGATCGTCTTTACTCCCTGTTCTAAACCGCGAACATCAGATGAGTGTGGGGTTTTTTTTTACGCGTCAGTGGTTTTAACCTTGTGTCTGACTTGAGTTTTCTGATGAGTCTAAATAAAAACAGCTTCTTTAATGAATAACACTTAGGTAAAATTACAGAAATATATCATGTTTGTTTCAGGTTTTGCAGCTTATCGAATCAATCCAACCACTCATTCATTCCTCAAGTGGGCACTCAGTCTCACTCTGAGACAGGTCCAGATTAAATTAAGCTCTTGAAGGTCTTTGTGTACTATATATTTACTGTTTGTGCACTTTCTGCTGACACACAGCAGCCACAAAGACATACTAATGCTTCAAACCCAACCTAACGATTGTCCGTGTGTGTGTGTGTGATAGAGAGAACATGTGATCTATTGTCCTATTGTGTCACTGAGACGGTACAGGCCCTGCAGCTACTGTAATGGTGTCTTTCTTCAGTGTTTTCACACTACACACTATTAGATTTTCAGGAAAGATGAGCCACTTCAGACAAAACTAAATTTAAACCCGTCAACGCAGCCGATGAGGGGTGCTGCAGGAATTTACTTGATCTTAGAATTTAGAGATGTTTGATCACAGTGTCAAAGCAGCCCTGAGCAGGATTTAGTTTAAAACCGCAAACATTTTATCAGACTAAATGACAGAGAAGAGCAGCATTAGAGAAGAACTTAAGACAAATGAGACCGGATCCGTTTCAAGTCGAGACGTGTTGTTTTGGGATTAACTTTAAACCTGGAATATTTATCTCTGTTGTGCTACTGGCTTCAAACTAAAACTGCAATATATTTGTGCAAGTGAGACGTGAGATTTCAAAGCTCAGCTGCAAACAGTTTAGTTTAAAATGAGAAACGGAAGTGCTCATTTTTGAATTGAAGATCCATGGTTCCTACCCTGCGGTTCAGAGACATCAAAAGAGATAAATGTGATGATGTTCAAAAAGATTCAGAGGAGAAGATGTTTATTTTTAACTGGGTTAAAACATTTTATATGAAAACTCTGCAACATGAACAGTTTA